TTAAAAAAAAAAAAGTAGTGAGTTGATTTATATTCGGATCAAGTCCCATTGCCTTGTCACAGATTAATTGCAAACAGTCAGCAGATCAATTGCTTTTAGTTACTCAGTCTCAGTGGTTCCCCCATGGTTAATGATTCTTTATATTTTAGTCACTCCTAAAATAACTGCTGTGGTTTCTTAAGATTTATTTATTTGTGCATACAGAACTGGGGTACAGGCCAGAGGCTCAGGGATGGTGAGAGGCTTCACCAGAGACAGAGTGGGGAGCAGAACAGGCAGATCAACAAAGTACACTGCTAAGTGGAGCAGCAGGGGGTGGGGGGGGGTCAGGAGAGGTCTGCCGCGCCATGTGGTCACCTCTGGGGCAGGCGGGAATCAAATTCATGCAGAAGTGGCTTTAGCTTCTTAGTGCTGTGTTTTAACCGGTGCCACCAGGGAGGGCCAGGTCTAGGTATATTTTAAGTAACCCTTATATGTGTGTATCAATGCATGTATACATTGTGGATTGTGGTACAAAATGCAACATAGTCAATAGTTTGGAAATACATGCATATCATAAGAAAAATATTACTAGAACCAAGTTGCACATATATCTACATAGTCTTCCAGTGACACTTTAATATTTAAAATAAGAGAAAAAAATGAATAACTACTCAATATAAAATTCCCCTACAAATAAAAAAAAGATAAATATAAATGAGAATTGGTTTGCATTATTTTTAAAGATCTGACGTGATTTCATCCAAGATCTAAAAAATAGTGTTGATTTGTATGACTGTTTTGCATGTCAAGATTTGAGCACCTGAAGTATCTCTGGCTTATACTTTTTCTTTTCTTTCCTTTTCTTTTAATAGAAGTACATGTCTTTGTCAATCATATTTATGGAGTAAAGAGTCACTTGAGTCTGGAAATTACAAGGACAGACTACTTGTCTTTCAACTATTAAATATCTTCAACTGACCTAAAATAACTTTACTTAATTGCTCACTAACTTATATGCAAGGCCAATGCCTTACTGTCTTCCGTAATCAGAGTTAATATCATCTAACCTAAGAAAGCAAAAACAATGCATAACATATGCTCATCATTATAAATGAGAATCATTTTCCTTATCATGAAACTACAGAAAACCTTTTTTGAGTTTATAGAAATGAACACACTAAACTGTCTTACAGGGTATCTGAAAACATAATGAATGATCTCATAATTTAAAAAGAAGTATTCATTAGGTAAACAAACAATTCACAGTCCAAGGGGAAAGTAACTTCCCAGGACCCTGGAACAACTGATTTGGGATGTCAACCTATGTTTTATTCCAAAGATATGCACCAACTATAGGAACCATGAGAAAGTGGACATTAAGTCAACTGAGCTAAGGTAAATACAATGAAAAACAAGTTCAATAATCGAGTATTTCTCTATGCTTCCAGATATCTGCATGTGAAAACTTAATCTCCCTATCACACAGGGTCTTATGTCATGATAAATACTTTCTTCAGAAAAGCTGAGTATTCAAACAATAAAGCCCACATGGTAACCATAAGAATGTCTCCCATGTCTTGGGCTGCTGGGATGTAACTGGCCCAGGGCCCAGCTGCTATGATCTAAAATCCACAACTGTGTTCGCATGAACACAGGCTGCTCTCAGTAATGATGGAGCACAGCAGAAATACCACAGGCAAGCCCATTTCTGGAGACAAAAGTCTCTACCCTCCACAAATAGCTGGAGAGGTCCAGAGCTCCCTGACAGCCTGACTGATTTTGCCTTGCAAAAACACTGTAGCTTTGGGGCTCTCCCCAATCTTCCCTTTCCTTCCTTCCTCTCTCCTGTCCTCAGGGTCAAACTTACATGGTCTGAAGGCTTTCCCAATCTCCTCTTCATTTTTCCTCCCCATCTTCTAACAGGCATTTCTACTTATCAATTTATCGCACATTTAATCCCTTCATAGTGTCCCCTTCTTGATGTCTATTCAGAGGACCCAGACCAAGACAGTACAAATATGTACTGGCATAAAACTAGTTTATATGTTGTCAAAACCTCTCAACTGCCTTATTTCTACATCTATCTTAAACCAATTTGAGTGAGTCAAATTTACACATTAAATACTGCATTGATTGGTAAATTCAGAGACATATGTATATTCTCCCTATAGGATTAAGCCAGTTCAAATTGGGAAAGTTAACAGCATTTAATAAACTTTATTATTATTTAGTATATGAGCCTGAATATTTCAAACATATGTGGAAGATCAAAGCTATTCTTACACTCAAGATTGGTGTCTCATAGTCTTTATCTATAAAATGAGGTGCTCAGATAATATGCATAGCTTTTACATCTAAAATTCTATGTTTTTTAAAAAAAACATTTAACTCACATTTTTTAACATACTTTATTCATTATTGGGGACGTATGGTGCTTTGTAGTTGGCAGAATTTCACAGTAGAGGTTAAAGTTACTTAACCCACCCTGAAGAATGAGCTATATCAGATTCTTTTAACCTAAAGGTCAAAGAAAATTGGACCGTGCGAGCAACACAGGCATTTTTTGAAGAGTCCCTGTAATAATTAGCATTTTTTGTGGCTATGAGTAAGAAGCAGTTATGGTATTTGACCTCTTTAAATTGGCCCATTATTCTGGTATTTTATTTTAAAAGATTTAGGGTATTGTTAACATTTGAATTACTTTGTTTTGATTAGTTCTGATGTTTTCTCCATAATTATTTTTTTCCTTCTTTGTTAGACAGAAAAATACAGTGTCTATTTCAACATAGTTAACAGAAATACATTTTGAATATCCATTAAAGTAAGTATTTAAAGTCTTTCAGATAGAAGCAATGATTATGTTAGATCAAGTTTGCTAATTCAACCAAAGAAGAAGTAATTGAAAATCATGCTAAGTCTAGAGCAGGCTAGTGAACTGGAGAAATAATGTGGAGAGACAGTAGTATTTTGTTTCAAATTCAAACTTTAATCAGCTAAGTGTGTGTCCTATGAGCTATCTACTGTCTGGATTTCTGCTTCCTCAGCTGTGAACTGAAAGGGACGGACAAGCCAACTTGAGGTCTTCCCCAGCTAGTTACATCATGAGCTGTGTCCACTGTTCCACCCCACATTGTGACTGCCACTGAGCTCTATAGCTCCTCCACAACTGAGTGTTTCTTAGGTAACACTGAAGGGAGAAACCCTAATTACAAATAGTAACAGGAACAGCATTCAGTTCTTTTTTATACTTTTAAAGCTTTTATTACAGCCAGAGGCAAGTGAAGGGGAATGGTATTATTTAAGGGCAACTGGTATCTTTTAAGAAGAACCAATTTCCAAGCAAACAATCCATGACAGGTCCTTTCACTGCCTTCTACAGAGCTGCTGGGGGCAGGGTGGGGAGAAAACCATTCTTGTGCCTTTCATTCCATGTGTCCAGGGACAGAAGGAAGCAGAGTTAAGCGTCAAAGTGTTTCCTGCTCTGATGACAGATGACCTGGCTTGTTGCATGAGAACTAAAAGGGGCTCCTGCAGCTGCAGGGGAAAGGGAAAAAACACACTTCTGGTTCTGCCATCTTTTCTTGCTACCATCAAAGCCCTTCACCAGCAGAACCCAATGTGAATTACAAACCTTGACTTCAGTGAGCAACTGACATTTCCGTGAAGCACACCTCTCCCATATCGGTAGAAATTCCACCCAAAGCTATTTCCTCTTCCAAAATAGTAAAGTTGAAAGCATAAAAGTTCTACAGCCACTTTTTCTCCCATTTTACCCCTAGATAAATAAATGTGAAAACTAGCAGAGTAGGGTTCCAAAATAAGGACTTTCTACCACTTTTCTTTACCCCTGTTGAGAATATCCTCATACTTAGAAAACCTATGGAGTGAAGTCCATCCTTTTCCATCTATCCAAATGATTTCTGGTTCATGCAGTCTTAAGTGAAAAATAAGTTCAGTTACTAAAGGAAAAGACAAGTAAAAAATGTATTTCCTCTAGGAATATGTGTTACTGAGAAACAGCCTTATTTATAATAGAATTTTCCATGGGCAGAAAATACTTATAACTCAGACTGTGAAATAAAACAGATTTGCAACTTTCACATCAATACTTACATGAAAATTTACTAGCAAGACATGTTACTTGACATAATGCCCAACTTGGGGAGGGAGGTTCATATTAAATAATGATAACATTGATATATATTTAAAGGTTCACTATAAAAGGTATCAGGTTATTTTATGGGTATCTTTGGAAACTAATTCAAAAAATAATTTCCCATTTTCAGCCAAATGCCAGTTGTTGGTACATGTCTCACTCTGAGAGAAAAGTCTTCATGATTCTTCAATTTATGTGGCTGAAATTGTTAGTGATGCCACGCAGCACTGAAATAACTAGGAAAAAGGCAACGACAGCCTCCAGGAATTACTTTCATAAATAAAGGTGCCTCAGTACATGTGGGAACAACAAGGCCACAGAAAGGGAAACACAAGCGAAAGGCACTGGACTTTCCATCAGCCATTGGTCTTATCTGTAAATAACTATGCAAGACATTAACACATCATTTCTACTAGTGACACCCAACATCAAAACACACCTTGCAAAAGTGATTTTTTTTCAAGTTACGTGATTTGTGATATGGAAACTAATTTCTTTCAAAGCCTCGGTTGGATTTTATAAGGTTCCTAATGCTCCCAAAGTAATAAATAACCGAGTAGATTAGTTAGAATACTTAACATCCCTCATGGAGAAAATGAATTATTTTTTAAAGTATTTTAGGCTTAAGCCTAAACATTATTCATCATAAAGAATAAAATATAATTTTTTAAGTCAAGGTAGAGGGCACAAATAATTCTTAAGAAACCTGTTTATATTTTGAACTGCTACCAATAAAAATAAATAAATAAATAAATAAGAAACTTGTTTATGATTGTTTAAAATATTGTTACTGTCACACAGAAAAAATGAGGCAGGTTTATAGTCACGTAAGAATTTTATGAAGTAACTTGACAGAGCCTACCTTTTTCAGGAACCGGACTCCATAGGTAAATACATAAAGGGAAAATGAAAATCTCCACCTGCAGAAGGTCAAAAAAAATTCTATGACATTCCATGTTTATATTTCTCAGCATATTCTGAAATATATGATGAAGTTTCTCTCCCACCTCCAGCCGAACCAGTTAATAAGCAGTTTTAGTACCAACAGAACATAGAGAGGCATGCAGGGCTTACTGTAAATATGTTAAGTATTAATAGTTATTGTTGACAATAATAACTTCAATTTCTTAATAATGTATTTGCCCCTTTATTCACCTTGTCTTTTTTCAGTATGTGTATCTCATCTTGTTATTCACTCATAAAGGGCTATAGTCTGAAAAACTTAAGGTGTATAAAATAATTTTAAATTGTCTGATTCATATATGAAGTAATTTCTTAACTGAAGTTCAAAGTTCTTTAAAAATAAAAGCCTCACTACTTTTATTTTTTTTTTAAAGATTTATTTGTGCACACAGACTTGGGGTACAGGCCAGAGGCTCAGGGGCGATGAGAGGCTGCACCAGAGACAGAGTGGGGAACAGAACAGGAAGATGGACGCAGTACACTGCTGAGGGGAGCAGCGGGCGGGTCAGGAGAGGTCTGCCACACCATGTGGTCACCTCCGGGGCAGGCGGGAATCTAACTCATGCGGAAGCGGCTTTAGATTCTCAATGCTGTGCTTTAACCCGCTGAGCCACCAGGGAGGGCCCAGCCTCACTACTTTCAAATCAGGTAATATATTTTTCTCCATCTCTTTAACTATCAGCATCTTTGTGGATATTGCTAAAAGAACATAAGTGCCATCCTACAACTATTAAGAACAGCCTTGATGGCATTCCAAACCATAGGTCCAGTGGTTAGACTTTCACATTTTTAGTGAGGAAAAAGCTTGAAGTTTCCTCAATTTTAAATGACTGAATAGTTAAGTATTTTAAAACATGTCTTTATTTAAATATAAGTAGTTGACATAAATTATAGAAGTGGTTACAATATGTATATTATATACTTTATATATATATATATATATAAATTGCTATTTAAAAGAACTCTACTTTGTATCAATGCCTGATTTTTTTATAGTTTGAGTGTGTACAGATGTGGCTCTAAAAGCTTACTAGATTTCACTGAAAAGCATTCCTGAGGTTATGTTGTTAGTGTTCTATCAACAAGTAGGTTGTAAATTTTAAGTGAACAAAAAAGGGGAACAAGACTAATCGATTTCATTTTGTCAGGAGGCAAATTAATTTTTGTGTTTGCAAGCCATGTACGAATTTCAAATAAGCTTGAAAAGAGGGAGAAAGCAAATACTGTTCAAAAATTAACACTGATGTAAGAAAAAAAAATTTTTTAAGCGGTTACTTTAGGAAATGATTCACATTATGTACAAAATTTTCTGGAAGAAATGATGACTATGTTCAAGTGCAGGGCAAAAGCACACACAATCACCTCTCTGAAAGTTTCATTCCTGGGTTGACTGGCTCTCCAAACACTCTGGAATTTATTAGAACTAACACTTAGAAAAGAGCTTTGAACTTCAAATAATAAATCATAAAACCCGAATTCAGGAAGGAACAATAAAAATTGAGGGAAGCAGTAATGATTCACAAAAACTTCCAAACAGTTTAGAAAAGTGATGATTCTAAAACCTCATCCAAAAGCCCTCTTCTCAGTGAAAAAGGCTCCCTGACTGCAACATCAAAGCCGTTTCAGCTCCTGGTTCTTGTGTGCAACCATATTTGTGTTTCTATTTGGGTGCATTGAAACTACATTAGAAATTAAGGGAAGGCTTCAGAAAGGTCATGTAATTTAGGCAATCACAAATGCTTGGTTTAATACTTTATTGTCACGATCTTGAAATTCTTAGTCATTGTTGAGCAAGGTGCACCACGCTTTATTTGTGGTGGGCCTGCAAATTATGTAGCTGGTTTGGATTAAGGCATAGATTCTTCCAAGTTTGGGCAAATCTATTGGGATCCCATTGAACTTAGTTCCAGCTCTAGAATGGGAGTGTAATACTCTTTTTAAATATTTTTTGAACTTATACTGATGGCCCGAGGATTCATTGGCACAAGTAATTCTCAATTTTTCTACCCCCTCCCACTCCTTATAATCAGCCAACCTACTTCATGTATTTACAGCTCACTTTTCTGGCTTCTGTAGACAACTGAATTTGTAACATACAAACTGAGTGATTTATAAACAGCTGTTTCAGCTCTTAGCAGGCAAAGATCAGGCAGTTTTGTTTGTAAATAAAAACATTATGGAAGTCACTGGAATTCCTATAATCTATATATCTACATTTTATTTCATCATTAAATGATCCCATTTTCATAAGACACAGCTTCTGGTACAGTAACACCACTGTCTACATTATTTGAAGAAGAACTTGTGATGAATATTTACGAGGCAAAATTTATTTCCACAAAGTAGCCACAGGAAGCAAATTTTTCATGAACTGCACTGAACTGAGCCACAGCAGAAAGAACATTTTTTAATCTGTGCAGTTTCATACAAATTATAGTTTTGAATGCCATCTAGCTACTAGAACTGCATATCTATAAAAGGAGAGGTAAATAAAGGTGCATGCAACCTTTTTTACACAAAGGAAGAAATGTCACCCTACTGTAGAAATTAGAGAATTTTTACAACAACAAAAAAGAATACAATAAATTTTAAAAGTGTAGTTAGAGGCAACAAGAAAAAAGTCTTGGGTTTTCGATAAAGTAGGGACATCTTTGTACATCTCCCTTTCTCCACTTTCTGTCATGTTGTATAGATATGCAAAAAAAAAATTGTATCCATCATAAACATGGCTCTGTTATAAATGATCCTTTGGGGCAGTAGGAAAATCCCCTACCCCATTAATTAGTAGCTGCTACATTCAAAGGTGAGAGAGAATAAAGGGGAATACTTAGCACCCTGGGACACTTAGTTGCCATGAAGCCAATCTGGGACAGAATGATCTGGGGGGTGATGCATTCTGGTGACTGTTGTTCTTAGATAATCCACATATGAGTGTGTGTGTGTGTGTGTGTGTGTGTGTGTGTGTTTGTATTCATGAGGTGATAGAGGACAAGGTATTGGAGACAGCTGCTTCACAGGAGATTCTTCAAGCCCAATGAGCTGGACCAGAGCCTATAAGCATTAACCAGCTACAAAGTCAGAGATCTCAAAAGGGACTTATTCCAGCACACAAAAGAAAGGAGAGTGGGGTGACACAATCCACATACTATTCTGTGAGCAGATCTAGATGGTTATTTCCAAATTTAGAAGTGAAAACAGTTAAATGACAACAGTGATCTACTAAGAAGCACTGCATAATATGGAAAGAAAAGAATGTGCTAAGGAGTCAAAGGAAGCCTGTCCCCCCAAAATCACCTCCTAGAGGAACAGTATGTGATTTTTAGAATGGTATTTGGCATTGTTAATATGATACAAGAAGACATTCCCTAAACACAAAAATAGAAAGCCATCAATCAAGAACAGACAACTGGGTAAGGTTAAAAGAGATTCTTAGTGAAATAAAGAATCTTAAAAATGAAATGACAAAATATTATCCATAAAGGGGGGTCATGGAGGAAACAAGAATATAATATACTCTTATATATAACAAAGTATAAAAGTAATGCTACATAATTGATGTGGAAGAAAATATGCTCTCATAAGGCTGGAAAAAGAATCAAAGGATGAAAGAAGACCCTGGATCTTGAGGACCAGCAAAACCAAGTCGAATTAATTTTTCTTCTGTGAAAACACAAGTGAAGAATTTAAATAGTGGTAATGAAGACATAAATGAAACTACTACTAAACTGTATTCTAAATACCATCAATTCAAAAGCTACATAAAAATTTTTTAATCCTAAACTTAAATTGTATTTTAGATCTTTCAGTACCTAGCCATCAAGTCAAAAAGAAGACAACACACAAATCAAATGACAATAAGTCACCATCAAAAGAACATAATTGCAGTTGGTCTTAAATTTCTCTTCTGTATGACTAGATTACAAAAGAAAGAAAAGGCTCAATCAAACAAAATGACTGTCAGTAAAAAGACATTTGTAAAGCAATATGAAGGTAATCCCACTATGATAATGCATTACTCATTAATCTTTTCTAAAAAATTATTCAAGCCAAGTCTAACTCACAGAGATGTAAAAGAACAAGAATTTTTAAAAAATAGAATAAAAGTACTATGGTTGACAATGCAAACAATTGCCCTAAATTTTACTGCTAAATTAAATGCTATTGTTCTTAAAGGATAATTTAGTGTAAAATATTTAACAATAACAATCAAAGGATGAATCCTCAAGATGATATTCCTGAAAACAAGGAATGGAGAAGGGAAACATGAAATTTATTCTTACAGGAAAATTTCAAAAGACTTATTTGTTATATCAATAACAACAAAAATATAGTTAAAGAAGACACTTTTAAAATCTTTTAAAGAAATGGCTCCTAATTAAAGATGGCAAATTGAAAGCATGAATTTACCTCTGTGCCTCTATGATGTAGCCTAAACTGACAGAAGAAGATTTTATTAAGGACAGCATAAACACACAAAGACACAGAAAAGGGAGAGATCTGAGGCATATAACAGGGGAGAGAGGAGAAGTCAAATCAGGGGAAGTGCCCTCCCTGGTGGCTTAGCGGGTTAAAGCATAGCACTAAGAAGCTAAAGCCACTTCAGCATGAGTTCGATCCCTGCTCCAAGGGTAGCCCACATGGCATGGCAGACCTCTCCTGGCCCTCCCCTCAGCAGGGTACTTCGCCAGTCAGCCTGTTCTGCTCCCCACTGTGTCTCTGGTGAATCCTCTCACTGCCCGTGCACCTCTCTGGCCTATACCCCAGTTCTGTACCTCAGTTCTGTATGCATAAATAAATAAATCTTAAAAAAAAAAAAAACAGGGGAGGGAAGAGTACAAGGGACTTTAATGATGGATCACAGGTGCTGTACAGGGACCACTATTCAGATAAGATCCAAATTAATGATGTAGGAAAGTGAATAGATCAGTAAATAAAAATTCACAACCATGAGGGAAAG